GTTTTTGCAAATGGTGCTATTCCATCCTTTCTTATGGCTGAGTGAGTAGTATTCCATTATATGTATCACATCTTCTTTATCCAGTCCTCTATCGTGGGACACTTTGGTTGTTTCCAAATTTGGTCGTTTCCAAATTTGGTCATCGTGAATAATGCTTCAATGGACATAGGGTTACATATATCTTTGCAAATATGATTTTTAGTCTTTTGGGCATATACCCAGGAGAGAGATTGCTGGGTCATATGGTAGTTCTTTTTTTTCTTTTTCTTTCTTTCTTTCTTTCTTTCTTTCTTTCTTTCTTTCTTTCTTTCTTTCTTTCTTTCTTTTTCTTTCTTTCTCTCTCTCTCCCTCTCTCTCTCTCTCTCTCTCTCTCTCTCTCTCTCTCTCTCTCTCTCTCTCTTTCTTTTGTAGTTCTATTCTTAATTTTTTGAGGAATCACCAGACTGATTTCTATAGTGGTTGTACCAGTCTACATTCCCACCTCCCTTTCCCTTAAAATACCAAAACTTCCCTAAGTTTTTGTCCCTCTCTTCATTTTTTAAGTGCTCTTACATCACCAAGTAATACTCAAAACGAGTATTACTGCACCCACTGAAAGATAACAGTTGTGTGCTGGAGTTATTTAAAATAACAGAGTAAACAGACTTTTAAAAAATTGAAAAGTAAGTAAAATTTTAATGAGCACATGCCCATGGTAGAAAATTTCCACCTTTGTGCCCTAATCACCCTGAAGCCAAAGCCGGGGGCAAAGCCTATTACCAGGTTCTTTGTTATCCATAGAAATTGGACCAGTTAACATCCTTAACAATAATGTTTGAAAATGTTTGAACCTTACACAATTTGCTAGCCTGATAAATCATGAAGTGCTTTCAACTTTAGCAGTCTATTAGGTAAAAATATGGTCTTTTATTTTAATCTTAACTTGCAATTCTATTATTTGTGAGGATGCATATCTTTCCATATACTTAAATAGTATTTGCATTCCTTATTTTGTAACTGCCGTTTTGATCCTTTTTTTTTTCTTCTTGGTTAATGGCCATATTTTTATTAATTTGTAGGAAAATTTGAGTCCAAATTGTAAGATGGAAAATACTGAGAAATGATTTGGGAAAGGCAGATTAGAGCAATGGTTACTGGGGAATCAGAAGAAAGGAACATAAAAAAAAACAACCCACGATGGCACCATAGGTCTTCATTTCTGAATAGGAAGAATGAGACGCTTTCAAGAGAAAACATATTCTTTGAAAAGATAAAAAGAATAACTGACTAAAGATGAAAAGCTCTAGTGAATCAAGATAGCATAAAATAATTAGAAGAACCAGACTTTGAAAAAAATGCACCACTTGTTTAAAATGCCGCCACCACCACCACCAATAACAATAAAATCTACATGCTATAAAGTAAGCAAAAACAGGTAGTTTGAAATATGAAATCAACTGAACCATGCAATCCCCCTACTCTATCCACCTCAAAATATCTTCTGTTGTTACTTTGGGTGATACACATCCACATCCATACTTGCACGGAGCAGAGAAAAACTTTAACTTGACACTCCAACAGAAATTTTATTATTAAGTAAGTTCAGAACTGGAAGAACGCTATGAATTATAATTTTATTTTAAAAAAAACACACCTCCAAATAGAAAAGGACAAACCATAGGAAGAAGTGAAACAGGAGATAATAAAATTTAGGAGAGACAAGGCATAAATGAGATTTAAACTTTAAGGTAATTTTGGTAGACAGAATTTCTAAAATGGCCAAAAATGACCCACTCCAATACCCAAAACCTGTGAGTGTGAGTTACCACTTCTGTAATTATGGTCTATTATGAGGCACCATGACTTAAAATAGGGAGGATTATCCTGGATTTTCAGGTGGGCCCTTAAAAGCACAAAACTTTCTCCAGCTGGTGGCAGAAGAGGAAGTCAGAGACACTTGGAGCATGAAAAGGCTTCAACATGCCAGCCATGCTTTAGGATGGATGGAGACACTTGCTAAAGAATGTGAGCAACTCTTAGGAGCTGAGGCTCCTGGCTAACAATCAAAGAAAACGAGAATTTCGATTCTATGACTACAGAAATATGAATTTGGCCAACCACTTGAATAAGCTTACATGTGGATGCTTCCCCATATGCTCCAGTTAAAAGCCTAACCCAGCCAACCTTGGTTTTTGCTTTGAGACCCTATGCTGAGCCTGCCCTGTGTTCTGACCTAAAAAACTGTGAAAAAAATGGGTGTTGTTTTATGCCACTGATTGATTTTGTGGTAATTTGTTATGGCAGCAATACAATACTAATAGAGTTCCGAAGGAAGTTCAGGTATAACTACAATTAACATAGAGTCATAAATGACAGAAAGAAACAAGAAAACAAAGTCATACAAAGGTTCAGAAAGAACATAATAAAAAAGACAGGAAGATATTATATTCAACATACTTATAACTGAAATCACTGAAGGAAAAAAGCAAATCAAAGGAACAAACAAAATATTTTAAGATTACTATTCAAAAAACAAAAATAAAAACTTTGTTGAAATGAAAACTCTGAATTTATATATTAAAAGTCTCCCATCATGTACCTGGAAAAACTGAGAAAGAATGGTCAATTCCAAAAAATATCTTAGTAAAACTATTACACCTTTTTTTAAAGAATGTGAACCTCCAGAGGAAAATGGCCAAGCCCTTACATAGCAAAGAAAACCCAAAGCACAACAGCAGAGCAAAATTTTCAAAAATTCTAAAGGGCAGAGTGTGAGCCAAGATCTTAAATCAGCAATATTTTAAGAATTAAAAAAAAATTCTGAGGAAATATTATACATATGAACTCTTCCTACAAATAGATAATTTTACAATAAAAAGATAAAGATTTGGAGAAATTTTGGTAATGAACATAGATAATTGAAGATCTGGTACTAAAATAAAGGCAGTATTAAGATTCAAGTAATAATGTGCAAAAGTTATTTTTCTGTGATGAAGTAGAAATGACACAAGTAAAAAATGCAAAGAGAGGGAGAAAGGTATACAGAGTAGTTTGCTTCATTAACATGTAGCTGGGAATTAAAATATTTAAAGCTGGCAAAGCTGGCATGGTAAAAATAAGAATAAGAAAGAAGAGGATTAAAAGTGATTATAGAAAGCTATCAGTATAAACATAAGGAAACAAAAAAAATGAAAACAAACTATAAAGTAGCATGACAGAACTGTAGGTTCTTTTTATATTAAGGATATTATTTCTTTTCGAAGTATATTGCAAATATTGCCTCCCAATGTATAATTTAATTTAGATTATTTGCCTTGCGTTTGTTTTCATTTATTTTTATAATTATATAAACCTATCATTTTATAACTTCTAAATTTTGTGTCTTTTAGAAAGACTACCTTCACTCTGGAGAAGATATTCTGCAATATTTTCTTCTACTAGTTTTATGGTTTCATGATTGCTCCATTTATTTTTATGGAAGTGATAATAGAAAAAAGTGTTTTTTTTCTAACAGGTTTCCTTGTTACCATCATTGCTGAGTGAAAATGTTATCTTTTCTCCACTCACATGTGATGCAGCTCATTGTATAACAAACTCCTGTACATTTTTGGAATTATTTCTTAGATCTCTAACTGTTCAATTTATATCACTTGAAATTTATTTAAAACAACTTCACTATTCTTGGGTGTTATATTTCCATGTAAATTTTAGAACTACAATGACTGATTCTAATAAGGCACCTTCATGAATGATCGATTTTGCTTTGAAATAAGTAATTCAATGCATATTTGTAAAAATTATCCACAAAATTTGCGTATTATCTTAGATAATATCCAGTGGGACACCTGCCCTGAAATTTCCTATCAATGTTATGAAGTGCTTCTCTTCTTTTAGAAGTAGTTTCTTACAAAAGTGGCAAGAGATCAGGCTTTGGAGTGAGAAATTAGATTTGTACACTGCCCCAGCTGCTTACCATTTTGTAACCTTGAGCTCATTACTTAAGTTGGCTGAATGTCAGTTTCTTCCTTTAGAAAATGAGGATAAAAACGACTGCCTTGTAAAATTCCTGAAACATTAGATAAATTGTATTTTGAATAAGTATGAAATATCCCTGACGGTTGGTGGGACCTTTCGGGAAAATAATTTCAAATAGAGGTTGAAAGCATCCTCATGTATAACTACAATCTAGATTTCTCTCCTAACCACAGAATTGCCAGGACTTGACCCCTTTTTATTTGTCTGATAAATGTCTATTCATCCACAATCATCTGCGAATAGATTTTCTCATTTCCCCTTGTTTAGCACTTTCTCTTTCATCACTGTATCCAAATGTTTATAAATTGTTATTATCTGACTACTTGTTTTGCCTCCCTAAGGAAACTGAACTCCTTCACCACCAGTTACTTGTCCTTTTGTGCCAATCTTACCATATTATCTCCCTCATAATTCATTCTCAGAGGTAGCTGTTTGTTGAACATACATACATTTTTTACGGGAAGGAGGAGAGCACATAGGGCATATTTATTTTGTATTTTTCTCTCCTTTGTTCTTTGTTTAAAAAAGAAACACTCGGTGGGGAGGAGGACACTGCGTTAGTCCCTAGAAACATTTTTTGTCATTATCTTTTAAAACTGCATGGACTTAACCTAAATGCCTCACCCAACCAACTCGCCAATAGGCAGGGCAGGCATCAGAACAGGAAGTGCCCATGACCGAGGGGGGAGGAAGGTACGCATGCGTACAGAAGTCGGTGCGACTTGAGCATCCCACATGGACTTCCGGCTGAGATAAGGCCAACGGACGCGAGGCGAGGCCCAGTGCAGAGACCAGAGCCTGTGCAGATAAAGGTATTTTCAGAAACTAGCAATAATTTGGTGTAGTGCTCCCTTGGGGACAGGTATCTTGGGGTCCATATTGACCTTAGATGGGTAGCCCACTGCGCAGTCGCGGTATTTGCAAAACGGTGCATCAATGTTAAAGATGGATTATTCACCCTGTGCGACAGCGCACTTACGTTTTCTCTTCTTTTAGGGCCCCCGCTGTATGTCACAATGCGAAGAGCTTTAGAAAAAGCTATGGACCATGCGGATCGTGTCATTGAAAGCGCCCAACAGAGACCTCCTCGGAGGAAATCCTCATCCACTAGGGGGAAATCTCTGCACGAAAAGCTGTATGACATCTATGTTGAGGAGTGCGGGAAGGAGCCCGAAGGTACGGAGGAATTAACGCGCAATGCGAACTTGCTGGAGAAGCTTGTTCGGAGGGAGTCCTTGCCCCGTTTAGTGGTCAACCTATACCCAGGCGAGGAGGGGTATTCGCTGATGATCAAGGGAGAAAATGAACTCTATTCAGAGACCATTAGACTGCCCTATGAGGAAAGGGACTTTCTTGAATACTTGGATGCAGAGGAACTGCCTCCTATTTTGGTGGATGCCCTGGAAAACTCGCAAGCTAACATTTTTCAGAGCGGGTGTGTCATCACAGAAGTGCGGGACTATAGACAGTCCACTAACGGGGGCCGCAGTCGTTACCAAAGCAGGCATGTTCTCTTACGCCCGACGATGCAGACATTAGTTTCTGACGTCCACGCCATAACCGGCAATAACCAGACATGGACCCAGGAAGACAGACTTTCACTTGAGAGCCAGCTGATCTTAGCTACAGCTGAGCCCCTGTGCCTTGATCCTTCTGTATCAGTAGCCTGCATTGAAAACAAGCTGCTCTATAACAAGCAAAAGATGAACACTCCCCCAATGAGAAGGAATTTCAAGAGGTATTCTACAGCCTCCCTGAATTGGCAGCAGAAGCTGTCTTATAGTTCACTCCCTCCTGAGCTAAGGGCATGGGATTTTCACACAAAAAGGAAAGAAAGGCAAGCAGGTCAGCAGGATGACCTCAGATTTCCCAAAGCAGGAAGTTGTGTAGATATGTGGAAACAGCAACCCTGTGACTTGGAGGTCCCTTCTGAAGTGGATGTGGACAAATATGCTAAAGAGGAGAGGTCTGTCGCATACGATGATGCACAACCAACAGTCTGGCCAGCCCTGGAGACACAAGAGGATTCTCTATTTGGATGTGAAGCTGGCGATCCATTCCAGACAACAAAGCCGACCGTCATGCAGTCTCTGAATGATCCATTTATCTCTGGAAAGAGAAAGTCACATAAAAAAGCCAGACGTAGGAGACGGAGACAGATGTCTCACCACCTCTCCTCCACAGATGACCAACCCAGTAGTTCCAGGCCTGGGTCACAGACTGGTGCTGGGAAAGCAGCCAGGCAGTCTGAGGAATTGGTGCAGAATTGGGTGGCACAGAGCTCCAGTGGCTCCGCCAGCCTCAGCCAGCTTTCTCCAGGGAGAGCAGCAGAACAGCCTCAGGCCGTGTCAATTCAGTCTCCAGTTCAGGGCCAGGGAGACCAACACACACCTCCAGGTAGAGCAGCAGAACAGCCTCAGGCCGTGTCAATTCAGTCTCCAGTTCAGGGCCAGGGAGATCAACACACACCTCCAGCCATCTGTCTTCCCTGCAGCTCAGGAAATAGCTCCTGGGACAATAGTTTTACTCCACAGCAGGCAAGCAGCTTTTGTAAATCTCCATCTCATGCCTCTGCTTCAGAGCCACCAAGTCTTCCCGAGAAATCTTCTGTGAAAGGGAACCAAGCTTGCATACTTCCTGCAGCCACCGTGTCTACTGCCAGCACATCACCAAGGACCCCTGCCAGCCAGGTCAAGGCCACCTCTGCTCATCCCAAGATCACCAAAGTGGTGAGCCCTGCTCATGCATCCCAGACAGTGGTGAGAGGTTCTACGCCCCTGAAGGGCTTTACTGCTAGGACCAAGACTCCTATTGCCATCAAGCCCAGAATCCTGTGCTCAGGAGGCCAGCGGCTAGCACCTATACAGCCTGCTTTACCAAAGCCTCCTTCACAAGGCATTAAAATTATTTTTAAAAATAGTCCAGATCTCACACCAATAGCTGTAGTCCAGCTCCCAGGTTCAGTCATTTTGAACACCCAGATGCAGGCCCAGCAGCAGCCCCAGCAGCAGCCCCAGCAGCAACCACAGCAGCCACAGCAGCAACCCCAACAGCAGCCACAGCAGCAGCCCCAGCAGCAGCCACAGCAGCAGCAGCCCCAGCAGCAACCCCAGCAGCAGCCACAGCAGCAACCCCAGCAGCAGCCACAGCAGCAACCCCAGCAGCAGCCACAGCAGCAACCCCATTGGCAGCCACAGCAGCAACCCCAGCAGCAGCCACAGCAGCAGCCCCAGCAGCAACTGCAACAGCGGCCACAGCAGCAACCCCAACAGCAGCCACAGCAGCAACCACAGCAGCAGCCACAGCAGCAACCACAGCAGCAGCCACAGCAGCCACAGCGATTCTATCAGTTAATTCCACAACGACGTCAGCAACCTCTACGTCATTTTCAACAGCCAGTGGCAAAGGGTTCAAGTACAAAAGGTTCAACCCGTCAAAGAATGATCTTACCTGCTCCTCAAGCTGCTATCATTAACCTCAATGAAGTAGGAAGTCTTCTGCAGCCCCAGATGGCCCTGTTGTCTCAGCCTAGCTCTACCCAGACCATACCTGGGCAAAGCCCTCCCCAACAGAGGCTTCTGTTCCCTGCTGCCTTCCAGCAGCTGCCACAGGCCCAGACGGTACAGTGGAGAATTGTGCAGATCCCAGTGACTGTGCCAACCACAGAAGCCCCAAACAGCTCAGCTACATCCACATCCACATCCACATCCACATCCACATCGTGGCCAGCAGAAAGCAAGCCAGACAAAAGGTAAAATGAATAGAGGCCCACATAGCAAGTCCAGGTCCTGAATCTTGCATTATTTTTCTCTTTAAAAACATCAAAACATCAAAAGAGCATTGAATCAAAGGGTTTCTTATTTTTACTACATTTTTATCTGTAATGTCTCAGTATTTTACATTTCTAGGTGTGCAAACTGTACAGAAGCACAACCCTATGGTTTTTAAGTAAATACAGGGAAAAAATTTAATGGGGGAAGAAAAGAATGGACTATGAATGAAATGAAAATCCTAGCTCTGCAATTTACTAATCTTATGCCTATTTTATACTGTCTCTGATTTCCTTGTCTGTAACATGTGAATAGAAATATGTACTTATAAAGTTTATTGTCAAGGTTAATGTAAACAATATATACTAAACATTAATTTTTAAATTATATTTAAATTAATTTTAATTATTAAAACAGTAAATATTTGAAGAAAATAAACCTAAGTATTTAAGCTGAAAATAAACTATAGTAATAACATTAGTGCAAATAATAGTTTTGTTACATTACATAAAAGCAAACCTTAGAATCGATGGAAACTATGCCTTGGAAATTTAATTCTTAGTAAAAAAAAAAAAGAAAGCACTAGACTTAAAAATAATAAGTAAGGAAATTATTTAAATATATAGGTATATAAATATTTAGATAGGTCTAGATATATAGATAGATTTTAATTCTCTATTAATAAAAAGTAGCCCTTTAACTCTATCTTGATGTCCTGCACAACATGGTGAATTCTCTGTTCAATAAAACTGGATGCATTAGAAACTTGTAATTCATTCTTCAGTAATTGAGGGATGATTTTAACATATGACTCAATATCATTTGTCAGACAGTATTCTTCACATGCATTATTCAGGTTGTGCTTATTATTTTACAAACACTTCATAATATACAAATGCACCTGTTGTCTGCCATTCATCCTGCTCTATTCTGTCTTAATTATTTTGTCCCCATCAGACAGGATAATAATCACAAGAGAGAAAAGGTAAAGGTTTTTTGATTTATAATGGATAAGTGAATGAAAAATGATAGTTTAGGTGAACTGATGAAACAAATTACAACAGGGAATTATAGGGGAAAGAATGAGTAATTGGGATATAAAAATACCTTTGTATATATCTGTTAATTAAAAATGATTTCTGTAGCTTCTAAGCAACATATTTTAGGATAGTATTATAAGGTAGGAACTAAAAGTCTAGATCAAATCTCACTCCCCCCAAGAGCGACCAAACTACTGATAGACTGGTCGCTATGATGCACACTGACCACAACTGGGCAGACACTCAACACAGGAGCTGTCCCCTGGTGGTCAGGGTGCTCCCACAGCAAACCTCCCGTGGTCCCTCCCCCCAGATGGCCAGGTGGTCAATGTGCTCCTACAGCCAACCTCCTGTGTCCGGCCAACCTCCTGCAATCCTTCCCCCTGGCCAGCCAGCCTGAGACAGCCCCGATCGGCCTTGATTGCCAGCAAGGCTGAGGGACTGCACCCATGCACGAATTCATGCACCAGAACTCTAGTATTTTATAAGCAAATATAAATATTTATTTCACTTGACACTATCTTTCTTATTTTCTGGAATTTAAGATTGCTTGAAAAGAATGAGTTATCGAAAGCATTTACAATTAATTTTTGTTAAATAGTTGTTTTCTTGGCTTTATTTGATTGTAATGATATTTGCTATTTGAGCTACCCCTGTGGATGACCAGTAAACACCTTTCACTTAATGTGTTCAAATGTCATAGTATTCATCATCTCTCCAAGCTTATAAGAACTTTCACTATTTGGTGGTAGAATAATTCACAAAGTACTAGAGTTAATTATCAAGTAAGTAACTTTCAATAATTTTAAGAAGCAGAAAATCTATCTGCATACCCTTATCATCCCTTCTACTCAAACTTGTGGACTTGGAGGGATTCTTAGAGAAATTTTCAGACTTCCTTGTTTTGTTGATTAGATCCTTTATTCTTAATGGCCTGTCACATTTAGAGTCAGAAAGCAAACATAGGGAAATCAAATTCTGAGTGAAGTATTTTGTATCAAAGATTCAAGTTTGACAATACTACTTCCCTATCCCTACAGCACTCAGAAACCCTTGAGCATTTCTGTTTAACACCGAGAACAGGCTAGAAATAATACTAGGCATGCCAATTACTCATTTGAAAGTTTTCATTCTTTTTCCACAATTTTTAAAAGCCCCTCTCCTTATTAAAGTATGCGTGACATACCGGTGGACAGCATAATGACTCGCCATTTCTATTCCTTATGATGCAGTCACCACAAAAGTCTATTCATTATACTTTATCACGATAACATTGCATATTTTCCCTATGCTGAACTTTATATCCCTGTCCTTTTAAAAATAAGTGTAGGTTGGTGCCGCTTATTCTTCACCTTTTTCAGCCATCCTTGCACCGCCTTCCCCTCCAGCAAGCATTCATTTGTTCTCTGTATCCGAGTCTGCTTCTGTTTTATTTGTTCATTTGTTTTGTTTTCTTAACAGCCGAACCACTACCCAATTTAGGTAACAAATGATATACAAAAGTTGGAGGTAGAATGAGTCCTGACTCTAGAAAATAGATGTATGGTGCAATAGTTTCACCTGTGACATTTCTAACCAAGTCACACTACTTTGCTTAAACTCCTTCCCTGCATCTTCATACCTCATGGAATCAAATTCAAACTTTTGTTCATCAAAACTGATCTTTTTTGACCTGGAATTTGGCTGTCACTCCTGCCCATCTCCTAATACATCCCCATTCACATCGATGGCTTTGGCAGCACTTAACTACTGCTGTCCCTGATGTGTCATGTTCTTCTTCAATTTCATGTATTGGTGGAGACCTGCAACCAGGAACTCCTTTCCATTCTCAGCTCATCATTTAATAATCAGCCTAAGCAACACATCTCTGGCATCTATTTTTCATAGTATCCTTTATGACATTTCAAAGTATTTCACAGGGTTATTTGTGGATCAAATATGACAGTAAATATAAAGAAAATAAGAACTGAAAAACTATAGTAATATAAGTATACATTTCAAAGTTTTTATTTTTTCCAAACATAGATTAGATGACTTTGTAAGCATTTATAAGGTTAGTACTTTTACTGGAATGTTTAAAATTTGACTTTTATATAAAACTAAATATATGTAATGCATATTTATGATCTCTAATACTTTATGTTGAATGTTACAACTGTCTCTTGAAAACATCAAAAGAATGCTAAATGGGAATTATTATTGTAAAAAACTGGATATATGAAAATAATAGTACTTTTGCTAGTATTTAAATATAATTTCTCTTTAGGCAGATACATAACTTAATAATTATTTTATTATAGTTATTTTAATTTAACTAAATAATAGTTAAAATAATACCTATATGTAAGAAGTAAGAAAATGAAATATGGTTTTTTTGTCTTTGTGGCTTTTAACCAAGAAAATATTACCAAAATAATGATTCAGGTATAGGTCATTCTGATGAACTACAACAGAACAGTCTTCTCTTGCAAAATCCCAAGACCAAACTGAGGAACAAGAAGACAAGTCACTAAGATACTTCTTCTTTATTTCAAACCATCCTGTTTCTTATATTTCTTAGAAGTTTTGAATTTGGTGCATATACTAAATCTATGCAAATAAAACAACGTTCTCCTGTCTCTGTTTATCTGATAATAGTCTGATGGAGTTTTATTATTAGCTCTTTTTTTTTCTTTTTTGCTCAATCCCTCCACTTCCCCCACCCACCCATCCCATTTCCCTGTACAGATCTCAGTCTGATCTCTACCTATGAGTCTGTCTCTATTTTGCTTGTAAGATTGGGGTGCTAGGTTTGGGATGACAGGACTTAAAAAAGAAATGTGGTGGGAAAGTGGAGAATTGTTTGCTTAATGAGTAGAGTTTCAGTTTCCCCAAATGAAAAAGTTCTACTGATTTATTGCACAACAATGTGAACATACCTAATATTACTGAAGTGTATACCTAACAATGGTTTACATGGTAAATTCCATGTTATTATTTTTTACCACAATTAATACTTAAAGCAACAATAATAAAATAGATGCGGCATACAAAAATCTTTCATTTTCAGGGGCCTTAAGGGCACCTTAGTCACCTATGTGCTTAGAGCAGGATGGTTCAGAACACAACCCTCTGGAGCCAGACTGTCTAATTTCAAAACCTGGCTCTGCCACTTACTCCTTGTGGGACCAGGGGTAAGTCACTTAGCTTCTCCGTGCCTCAATTTTTTAATCTGCAAAATGGAGATATTCAGCCCTAACCGGTTTGGCTCAGTGGATAGAGCGTCGGCCTGCAGACTGAAAGGTCCCAGGTTCGATTCCAGTCAAGGACATGTACCTTGGTTGCAGGCACATCCCCAGTGGGAGGTGTGCAGGAGGCAGCTGATTGATGTTTTTCTCTCATTGATGTTTCTAACTCTCTATCCCTCTCCCTTCCTCTCTGTAAAAAATCAATAAGATATATTTATAAAAAATGGAGATATTCAATAGGTCTGTTTTCACATAGTTGTTACAAGATTTAAAGAAGATGATATTTTGCCCTAGCCAGTTTGGCTCAGTGGATAGAGCATTGGCCTGCAGACCAAAGGGTTCCAGGTTCGATTCCAGTCGAGGGCTGATACTTTGGTTATAGGCTCCTCCTGGGCCAGGGCCTGTGCAGGAGGCAACCAATTGGTGTGTTTCTTTCACATTCATGTTTCTTTCTGTCTTTCCCTTTCCTTAAAAATCAATGGAAAAATATCCTCAGGTGAGGATTAACAAAAAACAAAAAGCAAAACAAAACAAAAAGATGATATTTTAAAGCTATTTAAATATTCCATAAATTCTCCAGAATAACTAAAATGAAGGGGTTATTCTCACTAAATTTAAAAGATGTTCTTTAGATAATGTAACAATACAAGGCTATCTGGCAAAAATGAAATTACTGTGGTGAGCAACAGGGACCACCTGGAAGTGGTGCTAATT